TTTCTTTTCTTACCTGCTTACTGGTACTCCTAGGGAAAAATAGGGTTGCTTCCCTACTCATGAACCCAATATCAAATTTAAACACTTAACCGGTCATTTCTATACCGTCCGATAATGAGCAACAAATATTCCATCGCCTCAATATCTCGTCCAGTATGAGCGTGAACTATATCTTCTAAAACTTTCTAGTAAGGGACTTCCCAACCCCGTTTGACTGAAGTAACGTTTGCGGTAGGGTTCTCTATATATCGGTTATGTCTGCCCTTTGCTTAGGTACCCAATAAGTCTTTCAGATAAAGATTCTCATCAACAAAACAACTAACCACACACACCAATATCTCATATTACATTTACAGATCAATTAAATTATATTCATGCTAACGGTATATAACCGGATAAACCAGATAACTTGATAAGGCTATAGAAAATATAATTTAAGAATATGCACCATATAATAACAAGTACATAGAACAGTACAGAAAAATAAAAAGAAAATCGGGATAATTATGAACTAATTGATTCTAGCTTCATTAATGACATGTAATTATTTTTAAAATTCTCTAATTTTTCATAAAAACAAAAAATTATACATCGCTGAGCCTCAATTTACCGTAACAGAGAATAAGATGAGAGATCCTTACCTAGATCGGTGTTTCGAGATGTCGCGCTATCTACAACGCCACCCAACGGGTACCGAATTTCTTGAATTTTTCTGTAAAAATTTAAAATACTCATCACATACTTAAAAATACATCAAAAATCCAAAATCGGTATCCAAAACTCTTTTCAGCCAATTTTGGGGTTCCAGCACGACAATAGTTCGCCTCAGCCTTGCCGGTTTTGGTCGATTTTGGCTAGTTTTACACATATCTCTATAGAAAAATACGTTATGGGGCCTTAGTTGGCCAAAAAATCACAAAACCAAACTTACTAGGATAAAAAGTCTGGCCTGGTTCTAATTTCGCAGAAAATCTCTCGCGTAATGTTGGACGCTTCTACATATGCGGTAGGTATTGTTGAGATGATAACATAGTCAGTCCCCATGATCCTTGCAACAGTGCTGGTAAGTCCTTTCGCGTCCTGTTACTAGAGCCTGAGGAGGAGCCTGAGTCACTGGCCTACGTCTCTTATTCTGCTGAACTGGTGTAGTGGGTGCTAGTCTGCAGTGTGAAACCAGGGTCTGGGATTCCCCACTGCTGGAGGACCGATGCGAAGATTCTTTTCCATTAGTTGTGCCTTAGCTAGAACGACTTAGTAGGTACTGAGCTCAAATACATACAGCTGCTGTCCGATCTCAGGACAGAGGCCCCACTCGAACTTTCTTGCCTTTCTGCCTTCATTCATCATGCTTTTAGGAGAATACTTACCCAACTCTAGAAACTTTCGGGCATACTCTGATACAACCATATCACCTTGGACTACGTGTGCAAACTTTATTTCCTTCAAATACTAGAGGTGCTATGAGAGGTACTCTACATTGAAGGCCATCAGGAACTGTTCCCAAATGATTGGAATGAGTAAGGTGGCCTGCTTAAGCTGCCACCAACGACCTGCCTCTCCCACAAGCATATAGGTGGCAAGTACAACTTTTTGTTCGATAACCACTCTAAGAGTCATGAAGGTCTTCTCTGTCTCAGTTAACCAATACTTGGCCTCTTCAAAATAGGCTACCCTTGCAAAGGTAGATGGGTTTAATCTTTTGTATCTTTCAAGGTAGTCTGGGTCCATCATGGGTGGAACTAGATCCCATGAAAGAAGGACTGAATTGTGTTGAGGAGGGACCGGGTGGCCCTGTGGTGGTGCCGGTTGATATGCTGGAGGCACCGATTTGTACTGTGGCGATACTGGATGATGCGATGGAGGCACCAGATTGTATTGTATTGGTGCTGGATAGTACAGTGGAGAAGCATGGTTGTACCGGAGTGTCTCCGAATCTTCCTGCTATAAGGGGTGGCACAAACTGTGGTAGTGGGGGAGGGGGCAGTTCCCTCTTTTCCTCCCGGGCCTACTGGGTAGAGATGAGTCTCTCCAGCATCTCAAAGAATCGGTCAACATCCTCTCAAAGTGAACTGTCCTAGGCTATTCGATAGTTTATTTTTTTGGTATTTTTAAGTCTTTGTGTAATGAATAATTTAGAGGAATGCGGCTCCGATACCAACTGTAAAGATCCAGAACCTTAAAGGAAATAAATTTATAATTTATAATTTAAATGTGGAAATGATTAATAGAGTTAGAGTTTACATTTCTTACACAATAATTTAGAATGTTTAATAGAACTACAGAAATGTCCCTACTAAAAAAAAAGGTAGTTAAGGAAATAAAAAGAAGAGCAAATAAATAAGCATCATATGACAACCTTCACTAGCACTTGAAGGGAATCCGGATGGTGAGTTACTCACAACCCTTTTGCTGATCAGGATCTGAATTTTAGTTTTCTTGATCTGAAATGGTTAATGAAAGGGTGAGGTACACTAGCCTAGTAAGAATATCACACTAATCATAGATACAAAAAACTAAATATTGGTAAAAATAATAAAATAAATAATAGAGCCCTTAATTTGAGTAAATTCATTCAATACATAAAAAAACTGTTTATTCTGTATTTACCGTAATGAGTTTTTCAAAAACAACCTATAAAGACCCATATTTATACTACTTTTTATTTTTATGCATAAGAGAATAAGAGACGATAACTTTCTTTTCTTACCTGCTTACTGGTACCCCTGACGGTCCATAGGGATGTTCCCCTTACTCATGAACACAATATCCAATTTAAACAATTAACCGGCTGTCCCCATACCTTGTCCGATAATAGACGCTAAATATTTCATCACCTCGATACCCTGTCCAGTATTGGGGTGAACAATATCTCCCAAACTTTTATGGTAAGGGACTTCCCAGTCCTGTTTGACTGAGGTAACGTTCACGGTAGGGTTCTCTATGTACTAGGTCCGTATGCCCTTTTCCTGGGTACCTAGTAAGTCTTTCACATAAAGATTTTCATCA